GTCCAGGTAACCGTTAAGCACATGTGGAGTACAGATCCGAGCTCAGCATTCTGAGAGGCTGTGGATGATCCTCTTATCTCAAACAGCCACTTCGACGTAACATCATTCCCCTGCAGGTGATAACATTTCTAACGAAGCTTCATGGCGAAGTAATGTGCCCCCGAACACAGCTGTGGCATCACTTCAAACCTGACATTTCACAACATTTGACATGCGAGAATATCAGAAAACTCTCGTGTGCACGCATGGGAAGACCACATGATTAGTCGGAACAACTTAGACTTTTTTGAAGCTGTTGATGGATTGATGCCTTTACACTGTTGAAATGATAAACAGTAAACTATCAGTTCATGTTGATCAGGTCAATTTAAAACGTGAAGCTTTCAAATGGTGTGAAAAAATCGCAGAAAACCTCACATTGATCTGAAGAAGCTTGTCCCATTGCGAATCAGAAATGCTCATAATATCACCAAAATGAGGATTGACGGCTGCATTGGAAACCAGAATGTCGAGTTTGCCATATCTACGAAAAATTCAGACGTAACATTACTATAATCCTACGAATATGCGAAGAATTAAATGAGTTCTTATGACATTTCACTTCATCAGGGTTAGACGAGATTATCTTTAGAACAGAACCAACCTATCGATGGCAAAATCTATAAGTTTCTTCCTGTCCTCTTTAACCCCGACATGAGCCGGTATTCCTGCGGCGTCAATACCTTCCATTCGTAGGGCACAAACGGCGTCCTGAAACCAACTCACTGAGAAATAAGACAATAAACTCGATTTGTTTGGCAAAATATAGTGAATATAACATCAAACGGTCCTAGAAATTTGATTCAGACTAGAGATGCTTCGGAGTTTTTACCATTGAAACTTATAAAAAACGCAATGATAAGAGTGCCTGATGGAAAGTGCTGCGTCGATAAAAGTACATTAAGTTTTCTCGTTACAAGGAACATACAAGAACGGCACGTCCTCGGTCAAGTGGATTTGCATCGTTGAGGCCCAAATCCATTGTAAATGTTTTACGTGGAAAATATGCAGTTTCTGAATTTTTTGCCTATCCCTCAATCTTCATGAGAAGCTGCTACAAAAAACCCAAAAACATCGGACAGATAGCCTCAATATCAGCGCAAACTTGATCGAGGCCAAGTGAGGCTTCCGTTCAGGGTTCCGGAAACCTGTGCCATGAGATTTGCACGGCTCTTGAAGGAACATGTCCCAAAAAAGTTAAGAGACTTTGCAATGACAATTAGCTACTGCCTTAATAGCTATGGTGCAGGAGCCTATATATGAAACAGCGTTTGTACATTAGAAATTGTAGAGTAAACGGAAGTCGAAACATGGATGACACTGGATCTTCAGCTCTACTAAACTGCTTATTCTAGCTTCAATTCTCGCATTACTGGCAAACGAAATGGTCATAAAGTAGAACTGAAAAATAGCTCCTATAGTTTATTCTGAACATACCTCGACATTTTTCGACTTCCTGCTACTGACGATCACAGACGCTCCGTCAGCTCCCAGTCGCTTCGCGATGGCGAAGCCAATACCCTGAATATTCCATTATCACGGTACCCGTATTCGCAAGAATACAACCAACAATTCAGAATAAAGAACTGAGAAGTTAAAAAAAAACATAACAAACCTTTGTTGAGGCAGACACAATGGCTACGCGATCAGTAAGGAACTTTGCTGTCGTAAGAGCTGTCATACTGAAATAAACATAGTTTAGGGAAGTGACCAACTGACAGGTATAAATATACTGTACTGGTGGCAAATTCACACAAAATAAATTAATGAACGAATTTTTAAGGATCAGCAAATTCCGCTAAGGAAATTTGTATAACTTCTTGCATTTATTTTTGCTGTTCGCATTCTTCGGATAGTTTTCTATTTACCTTTGCATCTCACTAGGGAAGACATATATATCACGGAATTTTGGATTGAAACTTAGGTAAGTCGATAGGGTCACGTATACTAGTCACGAATATGGAGACCAAACTGTTACGTGAACTTTTCAAGCATGTTATAAGCGGTTCAAATTAGCAAGAAATGTAGAAAAAAAGTTGCAGCGTTAAACTGGCGCCAATAGCCCCGTCCCTATGTCGAAAATGAATGCCATATTTGTGACCAGATCACCTATTTAAACCTACAGGAATAGTTTTAGAGAAGATTAAAAACCCTCGCGCGGATAGATTGGCTTTTCCCATGAGCTTGATTAGCCTGTTTTAGTCTCCAAATTCGTAATCAGCATTTTCGACTCTACTGATTTTCGCAGGCCTCCGCTCAAATTTCCATGGGATATGAAAACTTCCAACAGTCAGTTCATGCAAGTTCATTGTTATTTGTGATTCTCCACACCCCAGAGTAAAAGATAGAAATAAATATATCGTCCCGTCTATTCCCACATGACCTGCATTTGTTGCAGAAAGCAATGAGACTGCAAATATTTGAAATTGCAAAATGAAAAGTCCTGAACAGATCTCTTGGAATTTTTGAACTTCCTAAAACATTTCAGTGCTTCAGCTCGCCAGGCTTGGAATACTTGCATATAACTGTTATATAATCAGTTTTTCAAAGACCGCACCAGGTAACAAGCTTGTGAAGTGTGGCTTTTGCTAGCGCATTACAGTGCAAGAAAAATAAAACGGAGCATCAAAGATCGAGCAAGGATGAAGTACATGGCATCATGCATCTGCTAAGTTCGCGTTTAATGATAACAACTTTTTTGGCGTCATTACAGCCGTCACGGTACGCCTCATGATGTTCAACGTAAATGGGCTAAGGGGTGCTTTAATGAGGGGGGAGGCATTGCCTTCGCTGCAAAAGAAAAGATCTTATTGGGAGGAATTTGTTATAACAGAAAATTGCGCTTCATTTCGCCTCTTAACTCAGACGAACCAATATATTCCGTCAACCCCCAGAGGTAAGTGGGGTCCACAAAGGACTTGACAAGACACTACAATCGAACTCACACATTCCTGCTTTTCACGCATGTTAAGTGACTGTCCTCAGCCCCACTCCTCCAGACCTGCTACACTCCCCTGGCTCACTAATTCTCTCAATTCTCGCGTCACCGTAGTAGCGGGCACGGTCCCCACTTAGTAAATACATTTCGCGCCTACCATATCAAGAAAAACGGCGTGATCATCCCACTTGTATTGCACCATTGCCCTTGCAACAAACAAAACATGCGTACAATCGTAAGGAGTTTGCGATCGCACGATCAATACGTATCTGTTCCACACTCAAACTGCAAGCCAAAGTGCAAAATATGGTTCGACACCTGAAGGCAGCCGTCGCGCTGGCTGCGAGAAGGAAACAAGTTGGGTACTTTCGTTGGTAGGGTTCGCAAATGATTTAAAGGCATGGAGGATCAGAACCTCTTCCAGTGACAATGATTCCGCGCACAAGTCGCGAGCTATGGAAGGGTCCTAGAGCTCAGTCGTCTATTCACCCTTTCGTCTCGAGTCGCGAACTGTGAACAATGCCTAACAAAAATCAAAACACTACCGTTGACAAAGGGACACACCAGAGCTGCACGGAAAAGAGCGAGAACAATGACGATGATGTAGAATCCCGATGGATGCTATCGATATTACGCTGATTCATCAGCCACATCACTGCCGCTCTTTCTATCGTCACATTTTAAAATCGAGAAGGTCGGCTGCAGTGGGAAAGTGCAAACTGTCGGGGACACCGTAATTTTACGGCCGGTTTAACGCTTGCGGCGTTCAGACTCGCACTTTGAAGAAGATTGAGCCAACTAATGAAGCACACCACGGACAAGAAAACAGTGTTCCCGTGTTTGATCAACCTTAATCTCTAGCAGTTTCGATCTTGCATGTGACCAGGCTATCATCACTTGCAGGTGAGATTACTTCGATATTAGACGGGGATGAATTCGAGCATGCCACACTCTGATCGAAAGACTCGGGGATGAATGAAATAAAACGGGGCGTGAACCTCGCTCAGAAGGCTTCAGTATTGCAGTCCTCATTGAAGGTTCACTGTGTGCCCCGGAACTTGGCACATTTCCAAGTGTCTAGAGACCGCCACGATTTATGTTTTGGCAAGTTTGCCAATTCACAATTCGGCAATTCTTTTGACCGTTACGTACCTATTCCTTTTAAAGAAGTTGCCGATTTCCCACGCGAGTTATGAACGAGGACGACGGATCTAGAAAGATGAGGGCCTAAGCCACAGTGTGGGAGGGAAGGGACCCCAGGATAAGTAGGCAAACTTAGTCCTGTCTTCTAATCTTGTGGGAAAGAAACTGGGTACATGAGATCAGGAATCACAACCTCAAGTTGTTCATATACCCAGCTTCCTCG